TCGTCGAATGGTCATGTCTACCATGATCTTATCTGGAATTTCTCAACACCCAGCGAATATATTGGTATTCTACCTCAGATTTTAAGCGAACATTAGGCACGTAGAATATACAAAGAGGATAGCGTGTGTTCAATATATTATTTAGTCACATTTAGGATCAATGCATCAATCACACGTGTGCGCACGGAAAACTTTTTTAAAGATACCTATAGGTGATTACTTGTATGTCTTGCGTTATTGCTTCCACCTAAATTTCAAAGAGATTAACTACTCCTATAGCTCGTTACAGGTATATTGTTTTTGATAACTAGCTCATCTCGCATGTTACTTACACGTTTAAATTGAAATTTTAATTGTTTGCACATTTCGGATGTTGATTTCACGTATATGTGGAAGTTTTGATCACTCGTACGTCTCGCGTGCTAATTCTATGTTTATGTTTTAGTTGTAATTACTAATTGAAATTATCTCACTTGAAAATGCCACATATATCTCACATAAAAATGCCACATATATATTTGTCGAATTTTTAATTACTCTCGCACCTCGCTTGTTGATTTCACTTATATATATGTTGAATTTTTAATCACTTGCTAATCTCGCGGATTAATAGCTCGGTACATCTCACTGATTACCCGCTATTATGTCGCAACGCTATGATTATAGCGGGTAATATCATATAATGATAACCCGCTATTATTTATTGGTATTGCACATACAGGATGCGCTTCTCTCACAGCACCGCGCGCAGATCACCCCCCCGCTGACCTCCCTATACAAGCGAAGTCTTCCTTTTGACTTGAGGGAAAAATTCATGCCGGACCTGAGGAAAACCTTGGCTCTTTGTAGTGGTCGTCTCGAGCTCGTAATTTGCATGACATGTCGCTCATGGCTACGTCTTGGCTTAAGGGATGAATTCCCACCCGACATCTGAATCAATTTTGGTGGGAATTGTCTGAATCAATGAATAAATTCCTACCCGAATCAATGTTGAATTGAATTCAACTAAACGTTGTTTCGTTTAATCAACGTGTAACTAAACTTGTTTCGTTGAAGCTACGTTGAACTGGACGTTTAACGTTGATTCAACGATATTTAACATTCAAATATGAATGAAATCACGTTCGATTATACTGCTGTAAGTTGGAATTGGATTATATACCTACAAAAAAAAAAAAAAATCGGTTGTATTGACACCAGTGTTAGTTTCTATCACGGTCTACTAATGTATCCATAACTAATGGTTGAGAAGCTTACTAAAAATATCTACTGCATTGATATTTGTCAATAAATGTCTTAATGTTTAAATGTTTATTACGTTCAAAAATGTTGGAGTACTAGACTATTTTGTTATAAATTCCCTGAAAACTTGTGTGTACGTTGTAACAGTGATTTTAACGATTTATAAACTTCATATATTATAAATTATAATTATTGTGCTCTATAAAGTAAACCGCATTATACCTACATAGTTCTTATTATGTTTTGTGTTACTTGTCGTTTATTTTTCACTGCAAGCTACCTGAACAAAAATTGTTATTTCTGACGTAAAATACAGCGCTCTTGTTATAGGGTTCGTATAAATTAGCATGCATAAAACAAATCTAGTCTATATAGTAACGTGCATGATGTTGCCATGTTGTGAATGGGTTTTCAGTTAATATGTGTAATAAACACGTATTTGAAAACGCATGGCTGCATTATGTAAGTTTTAAATTAATATGTGTAACAAACATACATATTGCTATGAAATTAATATTATACAACTCCAGATCCGACGGTTCTATACTCGGCTTACATTGTCTAAGACGTTCACACAGACATGCTTAGTTGCTCTATAGAAAATCAGGCCAAGCTGCTCTTTATGAAACATTTATTATGTCTCTAAGGTATGTCTTTGAAATCTGTGTTAAAATTTCAAAAGTGTTCAAATTTTCCATTTTTATTATTTTATTCCTTAATTCGTTGTTTCTCTTTTATTTAAATTTTAGCTGCAATGGATTATTTAAATCTTTGTCGTTAGTCTATGTTTTAAATTAAGTGCCATTATAATATCAACAGGTGCATGAGATTTTCATTTTGACCCTATAAGTGACCTTTTTTCGTGATAATTTTATGCATTCCCATTTTATTTATATCATTACCTACAACCTAAATATCTTATTTTGAACTGATCTATCTACTTCTTTTGACAAGCCTAAGCACAAGATTTACCTGAACTTTGGTTACCTCCAAATTTGGGTCGATCAGTTTTATTGGTAATTTAATTTAAAGAGAAGCACCGCTTGTCTTCAAAACGGGCGACTGTATGTACAGTGGGGGGAAATAAATATTCGTACAATTGAAAAATCGTATTTTAATGTATGTAAGTACACAAACTTAACAGGAAAAGTGATTTAAATTATGTATAGAGACGCATAGTATTCAAAAATACTATCAAAAGAAATTAAATCTCAATGCAACAAAAAACAATGCAGCATGTTCACTTTTCGGGTGAAAAAAGTATTCGTATTTTTGATAGTATTTTTGAATACTATGCGTCTCTATACATAATTTAAATCACTTTTCCTGTTAAGTTTGTGTACTTACATACATTAAAATACGATTTTTCAAGTGTACAATTATTTATTTCCCCCACTTTGCTTTATCATCCTGATTTAGGTTAGGCTTAATTTTATCCCATCACACCATATCCAAACCAGCATTTTACTGATATTAAGTCAAGATTTTCTGCGGCCTTATTCTATTCCTTACATCTGCTCCATCTGTCATTCATACCTGCTATTTTCATTGAACTTCTGAGACGCAACTCAACATTTTTGCATAGCATTTTCTGGCTTGCATAACTCTGCCTCTGATTGTGTAGCTCTGCCACGAGGCTTACCGTGGCTCTGGCTATCCGCACTCAGACTTGCCATTCTAAATCCCTATTGGATTTTCCGTGGAATGCTTCAGAGTCGTGCGGCAATTGCTGCGGTTGCGGATTAGTCCTCCAATTGCTCAGGATTATGAATAACGCTATTGCCCGTTCACCGACATTGCTTCAGTCCGGGGCTGGTATTTGGCCCATGATGAAGGATATATTCCCTCGACATTACTTGATTGTGCTGATTGTTTGGACCTGGCTTGTTCCTTTATTGACCTTTTCGAAATTTTATTCGCAGTATTGTGTCTAATGAATTTTTTAACCGTGACATTAGTTGATGTGTTGTCGGTGGCTATTATTGATAAATTTCACATCATTGACAAAAAAAACTAATCTATTAATTTCTCTGAAATTACCATTCAGCATTTGATTTAGTTTGTTCACTTTGACTCATGTCGTACGCTGTTCACGCATAAATGATGTCTTGTATCGAAAACTTAAGGACTTTCCTTCGCTAAGATAACATCTTTTTAACGCTGCATTTGCGCAGTAAGTTTATTCCAAGAATTCCCTTTAGGCCTACAAATAGTTTATTCCGGCAGCGCTGGAAGTTAAGGGAAGTTTTCCTATTATCAGCCACACAAGACGCTCAAGAACCTACCTCTTATTTATACTACTAAATACTCCCGATGTAAACGCACGACAAATTTGAATTGTTTATTGGTTGACTCAAAGTTTCTGCACGTCCGGCATGTGCAATTTAACATTGCATCGTGTACTGAGTGCTCCCGGCTTTTTAATCTTGCAGGAATGCTTTACTCTTGAAAGGGTATTGTTATAAGTTACTTGTAATCTACTTGCTCTCAGTTTATTGCTATAATTTTTATTGTACGCGCGCAGGTGCACGCACTCTTTTATGTACGACATAAAGCATAACAAAACATATCTCGCACATAATGAATTTCGCAAGATAAATTTTGGAAATGAACTGCTGGAATAGGTAATTCATGTAACATGATTGATTAGTTACTTGTACTCTTTTTGCTCTGAGTGTGTTGTTGAAATTTATAATTTTGTGTGGACAGGCTTTCTATACTACGCAATGAATTTTGTTGAGTTAAACTTTATAAATGTGAACGTTTATTCCCATCAACGGCAGATGCTTTTTGCTTGATTTTTTTGAGGCCGAGTTGTGCGTGTAGTTGACAGTTGCTATTTATTTAGAAAGAACTGTTAGTGAAATTGACGCAAACCAACTTACATTTCACGACTAAATCTATCAGAGAATTCCAAAGAATTTTAAATTCACTCATGAAGTAGAAACCAAGGTATCTCGATCCGTACCCTTTTTCTTGGAAAATAAATACTTTTAATATTTTTTGTTCCTGATATTTCATTTGTAATTCACAGAAGCGTACTAGACTCATTTATTGCGTCATTGATTCTTGTGTAATTTTCGTTGAAGACCAGAGAGTATTTATTGTTGAAAATTTTCCTAACTTTTTTTCAAATATTAAACGAAACTTATGGATTGAAGAACTGCTTTTGCTCAACTATACAAACATTGTTTGTTATATCTATGGTTCTTATTCTTTGTCTATTTCATCATTGCATTTGTATAATCATTGGAGCTGTGAAGCCACTTCGGTTCGACGAGTCTTCCTAGATCAGAGTTTCCGCTGTGGTAATTGACTGTGCCACTGTATAGGGGCACCCAATTGTTGTCCCGATACGGGCTATTGTGTGTACGTAGGGGGCGATGCAGAACTCCTGCTGACTTGTTATTGTAGCTTCGTGGCCTTGCTGCTCGTCTTATTTACTCACTACAAATTATATTAATGCGAGCCTCTAATTTGGTAATGAACTACGGGTCATCGATTGAATTTTCCGGGATTATTTACTCAAGATTGTTCTATTATTGATGATTTTTGCATTTTTTTGGCGACAATTTATCCGCGGTTTAGTAAAGTGGTTCTCTTTTCATAAACCATGTTTGATTCTGATGATGAGATCACTTCACTTAAAACAATTCTGAGTCTCCAAGTGAGGGTAATTTCAAGGTTATGCATTATTAAATCATATCTGCATCGTGATAATGTTGAAAATATTAACTGAAATGTTTTGTTTTTCTCAGGTGCCGATGATGTGAAGTTGCCTGATGCCTTGTATCACTGCAAGTAAGTTACCAGGACTGAATGTATGAAACGAATGAATGACAAATGGTTTAAAAACTAATATGTTTTAAACTTGTGCTTGATTATTTAAGTTGTACTGGCTAAAGTTTTTACCAAGGGTAATTTTTTTATATATATCGCACATTTGTCAAATTGTCATTCACAAATTCCTTCTTTTTTGGGGAACGGAGATAGAGATATAGGTTTATATTATTCATTTATTGCTTCTCGAAGTAAACCCCGCTGGAGCCATTCAGATGCCGTAATATAATCTTGAATTAGTTATATAATTATGTGTACCTAACTATTATCTTGATGATACACTCCTGTCGATAAGCTCTCCGTTTTGTTAAAGACCCTAACATTACTTACATCCATACCACCTAATGACACCCGATGCTCCTCCATGAGAAGATTAACAACTTCCAGATGCTGTTTTATTGACGCGCTGTCGTCTTTTGAACGATAATTGCCTCAGTTTTACCTCCCTTATTCCAAGTCTCGGTTTGTCCCTCGCACTCACCGAAATCAGTAAGATTTTTTCCAACTAGCTATGCACATTTCGTCTATGTGTCATTTTGTTTAAAATGTCTGCACATTTTTTGCGCTTGTGTGAGACATTTTGACCCAGTTCGGTCCGGCAGAAAAACGGATTATAGTGCTTCGTCTGGTCTATGCTCGTACTGCAGGTAAGAGAGTGTGTCGCTTTTTGGAGTTATGACCCATATATTTATCTTAGTGCGATACGCGGTGCATCTTTAGGTTAAATTTCCTGCTTGACTTTTGACCTTTGCTGGCTTTTGTCAAGGTTGAGTATGCATTGATACTGGCAGTGAAAAGGATAAAGCAATAGGAAGATTTGAGCATTGAAATTTGTATGAGGAATATGGGAGATATGGAATTTTTCTGCGCACGTGCCGAAGTAATAACATCGTACAATGTTTTTTTTTTCATATTCAAAGTTTGCTGCTCGTGCTCCCGAGTAACATTTGGACATCGAGCATTGTTCTTGCATGTTGATGAGATAAATAGGAAAGTTTCTGGGCATGTTTAGTGTAAACTGTAAGACATCGGCTGTTTTTATGTCCGTGTTTGGGAGTCTTAAGGTTTAACTCGAGTCTGCTAGAGAAGAAGTCAACGTTGCGTTGAACAGGAGTCAACGACGCGCGTCTGTCCCGAGACGCCTCGCCAGAATACTGATTACTTCGCTGGCCGCTGTTCCTTCTACCAACCTGATATTGCTGACGACTTTTCTGGTGTTTTTGTGGCTCCGTTGTAGTTATTATTGTATTGTGTTCCAGGTGTTGATGTTATAATCACCGTCGCATGTTTAGGTATTTCTGTTGTCATTTTTGTGACAGCCAAATTTTATTTTACATGCTGCTCTTTTCCTTTTGGGCTGTTGAATTTATCAGCCTTCGTTAATGTGATCATTGATCAAACTGTAGCGGATTCTGTCGTTATCTGTGTTACCCGAGGTCCAACACACATGCCAACATCGAGCTCAAAATAGAAATAGAATTCAGTAGCGACGGAGTTTTAACTTCGACGTGCCATCCAGTCTGATTTTTGAAACTTCGTCTCATTTGGGCTCTTGTTTGTTGGCTGACGAAATAGTGCGACGAAGAGTCCTTTATTCCTGCGACGCACACGACACAATTTCCTAATGTGAGCGCGATGCCAACGAGCTGTTGACCTGGGATTGAGCGATAAAGGAGATACTTTCGTAAATTTTTGCCTCTCCCTTTGGGAAATTTTGATTTCTTGACAATTATTTACCTATCCTGGGACAATATGAAATATACTGAGGACAATATTGAGTAGAACAATATTAAATAAACACTCGATCTTAATTCTAGAGTCTAAACGGTCATCCAGAAGCTCTGATGTCAAGAACACATAAGATTCGATAAATCGATTTTCCACCCACATGAACAACGCCTCTGAAGCCGTCATTGGTTCGGACGGCAAGACAGACCGGACCGACAACACGCGGTCATCGCACACGGCTAAATGCTTGCTAATTCTCGTTGCTTGATTGCCCGTGTTAGACTGTGGAGCTGTCACTCGTTCACTACCGCTGACGGCAGATGGGTGGGAGTTATTGTCCTGCCTCCGTGGTGCAAACGCCGTGTAATTGCCTTGGCGCAAACGCCGTGTATGACAGGGCGTGTCGTGCTCAAACTGACAGCCTGAAATACAAATCTTCGGCGTGTGGTATCATTTTGTTGTCAATGAGGATTGAATAACATAATACGGATGGATCGTGGTATAATTTTGTTGTAAATGAGGATTGAATAACATAGTCTGGATCGTGGTATGATTTTGTTGTCATTGGGGATAGAATAACATCCGCATTAATGTTGCTAACGACTGCATTATTAATAAGATTACAAGCCTTACTGGCTGCAGGACGCGTGCTTTAGATATGATGGTGACTAAAACATGCCATTATTTATTTGTCATTGCTTCAAACTCTGCCAAAATACGAACTTATAGCTTTTGTTGCTACTCCTGTTAGTGCTGTTGTTCCTCTTAATTCTGTTTCTGTTCCTACTGCTGTTAATGCTGGCGATATCACTGCTGCTACTGTTCGTGTTTTTATGTTGTTGCTGCTGTTTCTGTTCCAGTTACTGATTTTTGCTTCTGCTATTGCTGTTATTGTTCCTGCTGTTCCTGTTACAGCAGCAGCTGTTCCTGCTGCTGCAGCAGCTGTTCCTGCTACTGCAGCTGCTCTTCCTGCTGCTGCAGCAGCTGTTCCNTGCCGGGTCCTTACGGCGCCCTTACTGCCGGGTCCTTACGGCGCCCTTACTGCCGGGTCCTTACGGCGCTCTTACTGCTGGGTCCTTACGGCGCCCTTACTGCCGGGTCCTTACGGCGCCCTTACTGCTGGGTCCTCACGGCGCCCTTACTGCTGGGTCTTTACGGCGCCCTTTTTGCTGGATCCTTACGGCGCCCTTATACTGCCGGATAGTTACGGCGCCCTTACTGCTGCGGTCCTTACGGCGCCCTTACTGCCGGGTCCTTACGGCGCCATTACTGCCGGGCCCTTTCGGCGCCCTTACTGCCGGGTCCTTGCGGCGCCCTTACTGCTGGGTCCTTACGGCACCCTTACTGCCGGGTTCTTACGGCGCCCTTACTGCCGGGTCCTTACGGCGCCCTTACTGCTGGATCCTTACGGCGCCCTTACTGCTGGGTCCTTACGGCGCCCATTCGTCTGGGCAATTACTGCGTCACGACTACTGGGCCCTTACGGTGCCCATATTTTATTGAACCGATGATGTGATGGGCACTTTTTCAAAGAACACCGTTCCGTTAGTGTTGTCTGTGCATCAGTTCATGCAGTATTGCCGTTCCATAAAATGTTTCCTCTTGAATTGTGATCATTATGAGAATCTTGGCAATGTACATATTGCCGCGCTACAGGAACCTCGGCGCGCGCACTTTCATTTCATTTCGTGTGTAGAGAGCGGGGCAAGTTCTGTGCGACCTTCCTTGTTAGGCCTGCCTTGCTTCACCAGCGCTGCTTGCCCCATGTTCAACACACACACACTGCACCTGCGTGGAATGTTACGAGAGTATATCGATTTAATGTGGAATATACAAAGCGTGTCTTGATTTCTGGGGGAATATATCCAGTGTATCTGGATTACTGACAGAATATACCCTGTTTATATCGCCTTGTGTAGACAAGTTTTAGTTAGTCACGAAGCCTGCCCGATGTTGAGCACACCCGCCAAACCTGCATGGAATATACACAGCGTTTCTTGCTTTGCGTACAGACATTTTAGTTGGTCATGCAGCATTTTCTTCAGGGTGATTCGCGGAAATTTCTTGTTTTTGTTTCGCGCCAAGCATCCAAATGTTGTAGGAAAAGGGCAGGGGTATTTCATATGAAAGGCACAGTCATGAAGTTTTGTGTCCCGCCTAGTCAGTTGCCACTATACATTGGATAAGTGAGCAGCGTGCGTTTGCTGTCGATGAATACTTTCCTAATGGCCGTTTTCAAGAGCGCCTCATCTTTGACAGGTGACCTTCTTTGACCGGCCCGATCCCCCGAATTGGTTCCATGTGATTTGTTTATGCAGTTAACTTAAATCAATTGGTTACAATGACTGTCCAAGGACCCTACCTCATTTTAAGAACAAAATAGACCAAGCCATCTCCAACATACCCGGCAATATGCTTCAACGAGGTGAACGGAGCTTCAAGAATCAACAACTGAATACATTGACAATGAGGGCCGTTATTTGAGTGATGTCACCTTTGAAACTAAGGGACACAAAAATTCAGGCAATGTCCGTTTCAATAAAATTTATATTGTTATGATATCTTTACTAGTTCTTTTTTACTGATCTTGCAAATCAGGAAGTTTCTGAGAATCGCCCTGTATGCTGAACGCACACGTTTTACCTGGATGGAATATGGGGATACTAAGCAAATCTCTATTCCTCGCCCTGTGTGCAGAAACTGACGTAATTGGTAATGCAATTTCCTTACAGCTATTGAATAAATTATTTTGTTCAAGAATTATCACCACAAACAGCATACCACAAATTGAAGTTTTATTCATGTATAAATACTTCGACCAATCGAGAAGGGAGAACCACTTCGAAGCACGTAGTTCATCAAAGCTAACCTTTCTTTATCATTCTGGATTAGTAAAAAACGCTACTGTCTTATATAGTCAGTTTTCTAATAAAAATATGGTAACTACGATCTATCTTAGATCCAAGTTGTCAGTTTTAGTAAAGATGTAGTAAATAGAGCCTTTCTAAGATCCAAGTATAGCTTCGTTTTTCATTGTGTATTTAAGGAAGTGTGAATGATCCCAGGCTGTGCAATTGAGTAGCTGAGCTTTTTTTTAATCGCGATCTTGCGAGTTGATTGGTCGAGGCAACTAACCACATCTGCTAAACCCAGACTAGTGCTAGCAAATGAGTTATTATTACAATTGGCATCTGTTACTTTTCACTTAATTGAGCGGGTAATAATTTTACTTG